CCCCCAAAACCCCAAAACCCCAAAACCCCAAAAATATCAAAATATATTGAAATCTTTTTAAAAATGAATTTTAGCACCCAGAATTCATCTACATCTACCTATAGTGTCAAGTATTGAGGTATCGTTGGTGGTACAATAGGAATTCTCAGTAAGAAGCATCCACTAGGAGGTAATAATAACAATAAATTATTCCTAAAACTCTGAAATATAGCGAACATGCAAGCTAAAAGTGCCTCTAGGCAGGAAAGGTAGGGAATTTAAATAATGTATAGTGGAATTAGGATATAAACAAGGATTGGATGAATGGAAGAAGCCGTATGATTCCAATAACTACTTCTGTACTCGATCAGAAATCTAAATAATAAAGATGCAGCTGTTCAATCAGAAGCTCCAAAAATGTCTGATTATTCACAAGCTGAAGGGGGCAGTATTGATCCTGGAATTAGTTTGGATAAAATTTATGAGGAAGAAAACTATTTCAAAAGCTCTGAATTAAATGACGATCTGGTTGGAGGTAAATAAAGATATATAATATTTTAGATCACCATTCTTATGAAAGGCAACTATTAATCAGAAACAGGAGTACAGAACAGAGAAGTTTTGAATTAACTGCGAAACAGTTCAAGCTCAACCAAAACAAATAAAAGTTTAGATAGCAAAGGTACATTGAGTTTCTATTTTAGACCTAATCCGAAACCCAAAAAGTACTCAAAGAATCACTGCTCATCAAAGAAGTTTGACAGGAAAGTATTCTCATCGAAACCAAGGTAGCAATGCCAGAATAGATAATTTTTCAAAGAGACAAATAAAGGTAAATCCTCTGAATCTTCTGTCTGAAAATCTTACTAATTATTCAAAAGATATAGCCAACCCTGATATTTTAAACACTCCTCTCATATTCCCATAGATCCGTCTAATTCAAAATGCTGAATCTAATTTCACTCCTCTAAAACTTGAAGCTTAAAAGAATCTGTCAATTTCTACCTCTCAGAGCTTCCAAACATTGGCTAATTTCATAACTTTCCATTCCTCAAAACCCTTCTAATATCCCTAAAGCAAGCTGTACCCCTCCTTTCCAATATTGACAACCCTATGCCTTCAGTGGACCTGTCTCCTTCAGAATCTCCAACCCAGCCAAAGTTGTAAGCTTCCTTCTTAAAAATAGACACTCAAAGAAGCCTAAGAGTAGAGACTCAGGAAGACCCTTACCTGAGAAATATGATCAGTACTACATCACTAAGTATTCTTTACCAAAGAGGCTCCATACAGTTAAGATTCCCAAGAAACTGAAAGGAAGAAAGTCAAAGTCTAGAGTTTAATAAGAGGTACTTGTGAAACTATTCTAACTTTTATACAAATTCTTGGCAATTAGAATTGATAATCTTTATATACTTTCCATATTTCAAATCTTCAAGTAAATATCTAGTTGTTTCTATTAAAACTGCAAAAAATGTTTTGAAAATTAGACATTATAAATATTTGCTCTGATTACTATCTTAGCAAAATTATCGAAATCTAAAATTGCTAAAAGAAAATGCTTTTTAAAAGCATTTTCTTTTAGCTACTATTTCGAATAAGTGTAGCTTAGATACAAGTCAGAAGATGTTGTTACAAATACTGATTCTCTGTATCTAAATCGGACTATTTAAACCACTGAACATTTTCTTACTCCATTATGAGCTTCCTACTTTAAATTCTATATCATTCTTAATATCCTGGAATCAGCAGAAGAAGATTTCCTATATTTTTGATAAAATAGAACTAGGTGATCTGTTAAAAATTAAAGTTTATAAGCTGGCTTTACATTCGATAAAACAATAAGTTTGATAATAAACAACTGCAAAATTTTTAACCTTGATGTATAAAAGGAATCTATTGAATTTAAGGAAAAATCAAAGAAACGATACTTATTATCTATCGTCAAAGAGAAAGAATCAACTAAAAGGGTTTAAAGGGTTTAAGATAAAGTCTTGTGAAGGAAATGATTATAAAAGCGTATTGCATTATACAAGTCTGGTGATGCCGTTATCAAGAGGAATCATGCCAGATTTTATTCTAAAAACTAAAGCTAGATTGAGAACAAAATCTTCCAAAGACACAAAGTGTACTAAGAGAAAAGGATTTAATAGAACAGGAGAAGTCAGAATTCCTAAAACAGCTCTTAGAGTTACAAGGAATAAAGTCAAAGGTCTCAATAAAAACAAAGCTGCTAGCCCAGATCTAAAAGGGCATCATCTTAAAACAGTTAATATCGTTGATACCATGAATTCTAGAGATCTATCTACTCTCCAAAATAACTTTCTACCTAAAAAGAAGGCAGAATGCAGTGTGATGCTACCTCGACCGGCCAAATTTGAGAGTAGTAGTTCATTGCTCAAAACTAAATCTCGTATGTGATTGCAAATTTATAATTTTCTCTATAGCTTCTCCATTAAAAACAGCAAAGTATGATATTGGGACATGCACATAGCTAAATATTTCAACAGTCAGATTCTTTAAAGGGGTTTTGGGGTTTTGGGGTTTTGGGG